TGTTGAACATAAGCTATAAATTAGATGATAAGCTATGGTATCAAATAAAGACCTCGTATTTATTGCAATGTTAAACACGGATATGACTACAAGAAAAAAAGCTAATCAATAGTAGAAGTGAAGAGTACAGTACAGTATTAGCGGTCAACAAAAAATGCATCCAAACTTTGCAAAGTGTGAATCAAGTTTTGCAAAGTGTTTGTGCAAAGTTTGAAAACTATCGCAAACTTTATATAGCATTCATAATCATGTGTTTAAGACCTATCTCTTCAGTGGAAAGTATATATGCTTTTTGATCACTAAATAATCGTTTGATTGCATATTAAAAGTGCGATCAATAGTTAGTATGCGATAAATGTGTGAATAGTTTGGCAATAGAGTGAGTGTTGTAATCACGTTGAGTGAAATAAGCTGTGAATAAGCCGTACTCTCAAGAGTGAGATACGGATTGAATGCGTAAAAAAGAAACGCAAACGTAATGTTTGAGTGAATGTATGAACTATTGGTGTAATACTGTGTGCGAGAGTGGAGTGAGTGCTGACAAGTGCTGAGTCTATGCAAGCGTTCAATGCATTCAATGCGAGCCTTCAATGCAATAGTCGTCACAAAATATTGTCTCTCTTTGTGTTCGCCATTACTTTTGCATTAGTTTTGCTTTACTTTCAGTGCTTTTCTATCCATACCTCAAGTGTTGATCACTTGTGCCATCGAAACGGTTACCTCTGTTTTGGGCGATCACTCATTGGACACATTGTGTGAGACATTACAGACATCTCTACACAGTGTGTGTGTGTTGTGTGCCATCAGTGGACGATTGGATCAATTGATGGTTAGGTGTCCTCCGAATGAATGCGAACCCGAATAATGAATCGCTGTTTCGGTACGAGTTTTCATAATGAAGACCTCTTGTATGGACTCATTGGACTCACTCTCGGCTGCCATTAATGCCATCCACACTATCATCGCTGTTGAGCTCAATAAAGCACTTTATAAGCAACAACTTAACAGTCTATTGAAGGTTTGCCACCCATTTGTTCCCACTCTAAGACGTGACTAAACCACTAATGCATTAACACTATTGTCTCTCCACTTTCTCTATGGGATCAGTTGATCGACAAATTTGGCTTTGAATGCGAGCGACATCTCTATCGGTGTCTTGTATTGTGTATCACATCGACGAGTGATTCGCAGAAAATTGTTTTATTGCAACAACTGTTCAACGATTTAAACCTCTTCTCGTCTCCCAATTGGTTAACACTTATTGACTGCTCTCTGAAGGGAAACGTTGCCACAGATGTGTCCGAGATATGCAAATGTCTTAAATTGAATGACACTCAAAGGGCGGCTCTATTGGTGGCGCTGACAGACAAGACTCAGTCCTGTTCAGTGGCCACAGACCTATTGGAACAGTTGTCGCTCTCAAGTGATACAAACTCTTTAAATGATTTAAGCCATTATATTATCACTCAAACAAACACTTATAATAAGTCTTTGTCTAAACGTTTGACCAAAAGTATGACATTATTTGCAGATTAAATGTATGATATGTTTTCTAATTTTATCATTTATTTAACAGATTTAAAGCTAAACGAGAATTCGGTGACAAGTTTTGCAAATCTATTGCATCTGCCGTTTGTTGAGAACGCGTCCGCAGAGATCAACAAAATGGATGTCATGTCGTTGACCTCGAGTGCGGCCAATCTTACCGACGATCAGATCGCGGGAATGATTGTCAACGAGAGCGGCGTTTCGTTGACTGCCGAAGTTGTCCAACAGTTTAACGTTACGCCAAAACTTTGCGCTAAAATTTTGTGCTCAATTTGCGAGAACCCGCAAATCCGTGCCACAGATGGTCAGCCCTCTGGCCAACAGCGCTGCGAAGAGATCGACACGTTTGCCGATATTTGTCGCGAGATTATGTCCTCCGCCTCTCCGTTGACTGAAATCATTCAAGTGATAGACAATGAAGTGTTTGTTCCCAACGCTAAGAAAATGTTTAATAACCAATCATTTGGTAAAAATAATTACTCGTTTCAACGCTTTTGGCAATTTTGCATCAATTTGTGCACAACTGATAAACAAGGTTTGACTCGTCTTGACATTCAATTACACCATTAGTTTATACCATATCTAATCTCTCTCTACTTTAATCCAATCCAATAGGACTGTCAGTATTGGGCGTAACTTTTTTCCAGAAGTTGTGGTCAAACAATGTTGAGTTTCAGTTCGGTTTCATTGTTCAGTGCATTAAAAACCATTTAATTGCCAAAATGCTGTCGAGTGCGCCGACAGGTCCCGGACCCGGGGCTAGTGAATCATTGATAGACCAATTAGTGCCGCACTTGGATGTGTTGAAGTGTCAGCCGGACTTTGAGTCGTCTCCAGAACTTAATTCATGGAAATATCAACGCTTTTACCAAATATTAGTGGACTTTTGTTCCATTAATTACAACTCAATGTCCGGACACATGAACATGAGTTCAGTGTTTTACTCTCAAGTGATGGAACTATTCAAATGGCCGCTACAGCAGTGCCCGGATCTGGTGGCCCTCGGGCTCCTGGGCTGTCGGGACGGACCCTCTATTGTGAAAAACGAATTGCTAAGTCTGGCGATACCGGTATTCCTCGGCAATCACGCGAATGCGGCCATTATTTTGCACACCATTTGGAATACCAATGAATTGACGCCAAATGTAACCCAAAACACCAACAATTGGGCGAAACAGATATTACTTCAGGCGATGTGTGAGTACTATATCAAGAGTCCGCACGAAGAGCAACAGCAACGCCTGTCCCGTATTCTGGATGTGGCGCAAGACCTCAAAGCCCTCAGTATTCTTCTGAACGGCACGTGTTATCCATTTGTGATAGACTTGGCGTGTTTGGCCTCTCGGCGCGAGTACTTAAAGCTCGACAAATGGCTTAAAGACAAGATTGAGTGCAACGGCGAGAACTTTGTCAACGCCTGCATTATGTTTCTTAACCGTCGCTGTCCGGCATTGTTGGGCACTTCGCCGCCCAA